ACTTCCATGTTTAATTTAAATGCCCAGTTTCCATTTTCTATTTATTATTCAACTTCTATTTTTTTATTCAAATTTCCATCTCCATTCAATTTTTTCATTTTATTTAAATTTCCAAATAGATCGTTAAAGGTGTAGTGGTTTCTGGAATGAACTTCCATTTTTAATTTTATGCAACTTCCATTTTTTTTATGTTTTATTTCCACTTTCATTTTATATAATTTTCTTTTCCATTCAATTTCCTTTTTTATTTAATTTCCAAATAGATCGTCAAGGTATAGTGATTCTTGAATGAACTTCCATGTTCAGAATTTTATGCAGTTTTCCATTTCTGATTTTTTATTCTACTAATCTTCTATTTTTATATTCAATTTCTCCATCTACCTTTACACCATTACATAAAATATGTCAATTAAATATAAAATAAATTAAAAAAAATTTCCAAAATAGAAATCGTTTAAAGGAATGGTGAGTGTTCTAGAGTAACGAGTAAGATTCCAATTCTTTTTTATAATGTCAACATTCTATTTTATATTTTTATTATATTCCAATTTCATCATTAATCAAAAAATTCCTTTCCTATTCAATTTCCATTTTTGGTATTTAATCCTTCTCAAAAATAGATCGTTAAGTAATTAGTGGTTTCTTGAATGAACTTCCATGTTAAATTTTATGCAGTTTCCATCTGAATCCATAATTATACCAAACATTCTATGTTTTATTCAATTATACGCAAATACTACACAATTCAAATTTACCTTTTTTATTCCAATTTCCAAAATTCAGGCTATAACAGATTACAATGGTAGAGCATATCCGGTAAGATGATCTTGTTTATATATATAGACACTAATCTCATTATTATAATCTATGCAACTCCATTAAAATATTATCCTTCTATACAACAATTATATATAATCATAGTTCCTATTTGCATATATCCTAATTATACCTTATACATTATCTATTTCTCAAGATATCTTAAGATCAGATGTAAAAGTATAATGATCTGAATGAAACTTCCAAAAATAGCTTAATATGTCAATATTACACATAAATTTCTTATTATATTCAACTTCTATTTTTATTCAATGTTCTCATTCTCCGTATCAATTTTCTCCTTTTTCTTATAAATTATCTCAAAATAAATCGTTAAACTGGTGTGAGGTAGGTTCTAAGTGATGAACTTAGCAACATTCTTTGAATTTTATATCAGCCAATCTCTACTATATAATATATTGATTAGATTCACGACATGATGCCGAAAATTTTTTCAATTCTTCCGTGTTTACCTATTCAAGGATTTATACCTTTTTTATAATTTAATAATTCAAAATAAGGGATCGTTAAAAGAATGATAATATCTAAGAATAGTATTATAAATAGTAGAAATAAGAATACTTCCGTTTGTATCAACTAAATTAATATTGATAGTTCCATTTCTATTTTGTATATAAGACAACTGGTCTGTAAGTTATGTATATTCAATGTTCCTTATCTCCATTTCAATTTCCTTTCTATTTAATTTCCAAATAGATAACGTTAATGTTGATTAAGTGGTTACTCAGATGATATCGTATAGAATTAATTAATTTAATGCATACTTCCATATTTGTAACTTTTATTTCCACTCCATGTTCTAATTGCAAATTTCTCATTGATATACTATTCATATTTCAATTTTTTATTTAATTTCCATAAATAAGTATCTTCTGTTAATAATAATAAAGATGGTTTATCAATGAATAGTATATCTTCCATTAGATATAATAATACTAAATAAACTGAGTATCATCTTTCAAATTAATTATATTTTCAGAAAACATATCAAATGTTTATATCCTATATTCTACCAATCTCCTATCAATTAATCATATTATCTTATGATAATAATATACAATATTAAGATCAATGTTAATGGTAGTAAGTGGAATGTAACATGAGATAATGAACTATCCAAACATGAATTTAATATAAATATATATGAGCAACCATCCATATCTTCTTTTAACTAAAAATATTATTCCACTTTGACAATATTTATAATAATAATATAAATTTCTGAACATCCAATCATAATATCTTATTAATATTAAATTATAACCTAAATAGTAAATCGTCCAAGGTAAATAGAAGAATTCGAATAATGAAAAACTACCATGTTACAGACTTTAGTGACATGTCCATATTATTCTTACTATCAACTGCTATTTTTATTACTACCATCTCCATCGCAATTTCCTCGATAT